TTAGCCCGGTAAAAAAAATAAGACAATAAAAAATTATCCAAATAAAATATACAATAAAAACGATAATAATTTCAAAAAGATTCATAAATTCAATGCATATCAAAACAAAAAAATATAATATAAAATTATTCAAAAATTCTGTTTAACGAATAAAATGGGATAAAATTAGAGGTGACAAAACGGGTCAGCCCGCCCAACTCGATGTCAACGCGCCAAAAATGGGTTGGCTCACCCCGTCCCGCATTTTGATATGGGTTGAAAATCTCAACCCACCTCGTTTTGTGGTGGATTGGCGGGTTGTTGGTCAACACGCCTAATAAAAAAAATACAAAATAAAAATAAATTATATTTATTAATTTTATATTATTTCTTATTTTCATTTCATAATTCCTTTAGTTTTTTTCCAATCTCAAACCTAAATGTATACTAATATTTAGTTAAATATTTTTTAAGAACTTATTTTTGCCTCAATATATGGATAACCTTTGGATTTAAATAAATTGTTTTACTTTATTTTTTGTTGGGGAGTACTTAGATAAAAAAAATTCATATCACAAAAGCTTAGTGACAATTAAAATACTTCCTGTTAGTAAAAAAAAAAAACTGACCCGCGGGCCAAACCGTTCCGACCCACCGCCAACCCGATTTGACCCACAACCAAACGGGACGGGTTGAGGTGAGTTGGTGGGTTGAATAGTATAACCTAACCCGCCCTGTTTTGGCAGGTTGACCCGTCGAGTTCAACCTAAATTGCAGAGAGAGCTGTTACGAGCAGTATAAAAACTATAAAATAAAAATTTGTATATTATGCCAGACTAAAAGACTATAAAACCAGACTTTTGAATTAAAACATGAAACTTTTTTATTGAATCAATTTTTAAAAAAGTCCAAACCTAATTCAAGTAACAAATTTTAAACATATCAGCTCATATTTTTACGAATGGTTATATTTATTTCATTTAACATGATATAACCCATCTTCCTACACAAACATAACAAAGGTGGATCTCACCTTTATTTTTTTTGTCTCTTCAATCATTTGTGAATCCTTTTTTTATTTTGTTTCATTAACATGAGACAACATATTTACATTAACATAAGAAAAAGATCCCCTTTTTCAAATAGGGGAAAAAAAGAGCCCCCACCCCAAGTGGTTCTTCGAGAGTACCGCTATAGGTACATCATTGCATAAAATAGAAAAAAATCGGACATGCAAGGAAATAAATCAAAAGATAAGAATTTAAATAATATAAAAAAATTTGATTTTAAAAAAAAGATGCACCTAAGTGGATGCGTCCGATGCACAATACAAATTTTCCCCACCTCTAAACTCAGAAGCATGGACACGTATTTTCTTAACAAATTTGTGTGTCGGACACCGACACACTCCGACAAGCGGTCAACATTTTCGGACAACGCTCCTACATGTTCCGATACGTGTTTCCGACACGCGGTCCAATTTTTTCGACACGCAGTCAACGCTTTAGCACGCATTTGACACTTTTTTTATTAACTAAAAATTAAAAATTAATTAATAAGTCAATTTTTTCTGTTATGAAATTTTACATATAAAAGTAACAAGATATGAAAAATTATTTTTGTTTTATATTTATATTATGAAATTTGAATATTTGATTGGTTATATGACTTTTTATGGACTATTATATCTCTTAAATATAAATTATATTATATATTAAAAATATTATTTAATATCAAAATGTGACTTAATATGTCAAAATATAATATTTTTTAGAATTAACATGTCGACGTATCGTATTGTGTCGTATCTCATATCCCGTGACGATAGATATAGCCTCTAAGTAGGGGTGTAAATGGGCCAGGCTGGCCCAGCCTAGCCTACGACCCGGCCTACATTGAGCCCAACCTAGACCCGACCTTTCAGAAAAGTAGAGTAGGCTTAGGCTTATAAAAAAGTTTTTTTAATAAATAGGTCATAGGCCAATTTTGTCAAGCCCGACCTACAGCCTTGTAGGCTGGCCTATTTAATTTATTAAAATAAAATAATAAAATAATATTTATTTTATGTAGTAAAGACACAAAGTACCAAATACCAATATCTCTTACTTTTTGAGCTATTTTATTTTATGAAAGGAAAACTTGTCTAATGTCTCCAAATTTTACATGCTGTTGCAACTTAATACCATGGAGCAATGGATACTTTGTTGGATTATGATGTTACTGATGAAGATCTTTCAAAAATACTCTTCTTTCCCTTGTCTTGATGGTGGTTTAAAGATTTTTAGATGAATGACATTCCCTTGTCTCCACTAATTGTATTTTTCTTATTTTTCCCATTCTTTGACTCTGTTCCTCTATGATATACATTCTAGAGCTGAGGTATTAGGTTGACTCTTTCTTGTTTGTCATTTTTTTCATATGAGAAGTACTAGTGCATGCATGAATGAAACTTTCTTTGCTCTATACAATTATTTTTTTTGCTTAGTATATATAGTGGGAGGCCTACAAGGCGTAGGCCATGTCAGACTTTCTTATTTTTGAAAATGAATCGAGCTTGGCATACAAATAAAGCTTTTAATAAACCAGTAAGTTAGATAGGCCAAATATTTTTTTAACGTAAACTTGTGCCAGGACGGCCAAAGTTCAGCCCATTTACTCCCCTACTCCTGAGCCATCTTAACTCGAAGGGAAATCGGACAACCTGGGACCGTAGCACTGAGTCGTGTTTGGATATACAAATAAAGGGCCCTATGCTTTTAAGATGGGACCAACGGAAAAAAATTCAGATGCAGACCTTTTTTGGTACAAACGGAAAAAATGCTTCGTCACCCTCAGGCCCGTGTGTCAGTGACTCAGTGATAGCTTTCTTCTTACGTGGCTATCCCAAATCATATCGTAGGACACGATGATGAAAGGAAAAAATTTATATACGTCAAATACAATTAAAAAACGTTTTACAAAAGTTAAATTATGATAATATACTTTTGGAAAAGTTCAAAAACATGGGGAAGTATATTGTGATAACCAAGTTGTGTTACTACCAAGTGACTATCAATCAATTTTATCATTAGATCGATTATATTGATCCAACGGTTATATTTATTTTCATCTGTGTATGGTCATGATTCTCCAAATTTAATACTTTATATTTATTTTCACCTTTGTATGATTATGATTTTTCATATTTAATGTTTTCACTTTAAATATGAGGAATCATGACCATACAAAGATGAAAATAAATATAACCGTTGGATCAACATAATCGATCTAACGGTGAGATTGATTGATAGTCACTTGGTATTAACACAACTTAGTTGTCACAATATCCTTCTCTTAAAAAACATATGTGGTTTATGTTTTGAGTTTAATATTTATGATATTATAGAAAATAATTTAATTTTTTTATATAAGAATCCATATTTTCTGATATTATAGGAAAAAAATTATCAGATGCAGACCTTTTTTGGTACAAACGGAAAAAATGCTTCGTCGCCCTCAGGCCCGTGTGTCAGTGATTCAGTGGTAGCTTTCTTCTTACGTGGCTATCCCAAATCATATCGTAGGACACGATGAAAGGAAAAAAATTATATACGTCAAATACAATTAAAAAACGTTTTACAAAAGTTAAATTATGATAATATATTTTTGGAAAAGTTAAAAAACATATGTTGTTTATGTTTTGAGTTTAATATTTCTGATATTATAGGAAATAATTTAATTTTTTTATATAAATAAAATATGTGAATCCATATTTTTTCTTTCTTCTTTTCATATTATGTGTGCCAAGAAAATAATTTTTCCATTTTACTTTCTCTTATTCTAACAAAGGATCACGACATATCAATCAACAAGAATGAGTATGTGTGAGAATTTAAAAGCATATATAATTTCCATGGGTTTTAATTTCGTCATATTATAAAAAGAGGGTGGAAGATTCATCCGGACACAAAAACAATGAAATTGATTTTTTTTTCCTCCAACATAATCTTTACATTTCCCAGTTTTAATATGTTGTTGATATAAAATTTTTTACGTTTTCACTTAATTAATATTGTGATATAAATTAATAAATTTAACAACTTATATACTATTAAACTCACTAAATTACTGTTAAATGATGATGTAATTTTTTCATTGATAATTCACATTAATTAATCTTTTTGAAAAAAGAGAGAGGAAATAATATTTATCGTGAGACGTGAAAACTGTGGGCGGGTTTTACTTATCAAATAAGCAATACACCATCGCCAAAATGTTACCAAAACAGCTCTATAATAGTAATAATAGTTATTAATTTTGTACGTAACATGGTATTTTAGGGTGGTAGCTTGGTAGCGTGAACGGCAGGGCTAAGTCCTTGCCTATCCGTTAGAAGCATTGTTCGAGTGCTAAGGGGCGATTATTTGTTATAATTTTTTTATATTGGTTGTGTTAATCGTTATTATTATTTTTATATTCTTTTACCAGAAGGATAAATAAGTGAAACATAAATGATATTAATCCATACATAAAATTAATATAGTTATTTTTTTTCTAACTTTTGAATTTTCAGTACTACATTTTTGCATTGATAAAATTAATATCGTTATTATTATGTGTGGTAATATAAACATGTTATTTGATCATAATTATTTATTTAAAAATAATATATTTTTATTTATTATTAATAAGTGAAAATAAATAATTTTAATCAAATAATATTATTACGTAACCACTCTTCGAAATGAGAGGATACAAATTCACTTGTTTGAGGTATTATCTCGAGTGTTCAGTTCAGATGCCATAGATTATCGAATTTATGACTGACAACCTGTCTTATCTCATAGAGAGCAGAAATTCGTTTAACAAACAGAGAATTCAATATCAAGTTTTCTATCAAGTACATTAAATTTAAATATATATAATGAATAAAAAAGATATCAAGTAAATTTTCACTAGTAATTTACCTAAAAAAGAAAAATCTTAGATAGTAAATACAGGTGTGCATTGGTTTAAAAATTAAAATTTTCATTAGTGCGTTGGAGCGAAGCCATACTAATACCCCTTTCTTCTTTCTAATCCGTCTCCATTGCAATTCTCAAGTCACGAGTCTCAACCTTGCTATCCCCAACCCACCTTAATAGTATATAACTCACACACACAAGCTTCCAAATACAACCCCCCAGGATCTCTGATCTGCCTCTTCAGAGTCCCTATTATTTTTAATCTGTTGGTTTTCCAAACACACAAATTCCCACACCAGAACCCTCTTATTGTGCGATATGCTGTGTAGCTGGCACCCTCACCCATCACCTTGGGTACTCCTCCACCAACCACCACTAATAGCACCACATTAATTTGGTTTCCTTTGGTCCTCACCCAGTGGTATACAAGGTGGTGTGTGAAACTGAAAGGTGCAAGGCCAAAATGCTTGATTCCGTCCTTTTCGCGCTTTTCTTGCCTTGTCTTGGCATGAGCTCCATCTTCATCATCTACATGTGCCTTCTCTGGTACGTCACTACCCATCAGCCTCCCGTCACACCACCGGCGAAGTCCGTCTCTGAAAAGGGGTTGTCCCCTTCGGAGCTCGAGAAGCTTCCTAGAATCACCGGAAAAGAATTGGTCATGGGCACTGAATGCGCCGTGTGCCTCGACGACATCGAGAACGAGCAACCGGTTCGACTGGTCCCCGGTTGCAACCACGGGTTCCATGTGGAATGTGCTGACACTTGGTTTTCCAAGCACCCGCTTTGTCCAGTTTGTCGAGCCAAGCTCGACCCTCAAAATTTCACTTCTGAAAGTCCATGCTGAAGAATGAAGATTCAATCCCAGTCACGGTGGTATCATTGTTAGGAAAAATAAACGAAGGAACAAGGGAAGGGAAAATTATTTAGCCTTTTTTTAATTTTATTTTATTAATGTTAAGTTACTTTTGTGTCGTGTGTCAGGGCCTTATGAATTTAGCACCGAAAAACACTGTCTTTCTCTTTTTGGGGTTTTCACTGTCCCGTACGGTTCTACTACTTTAGGATTATATTTATGATATTGTAGGGTGGAGCGGCGTGCGGTGCAGGGAGGAGGGTCCATGCTTTAATTTTAGCCTTTTTATTTTTAATTATTAATTGTTAAATTACAGCGCTCAATGGTTGATGGACTTGGACGGAGATGTATATGTTATGTCATGCTTTTCAGAATTTTCACTTTTTTCCCCTAGAAAGAATTGCATGTAAAAAGGGTTTTTCTGGCATAAATGACCCTAGTGGGGGAAGAATGGAGGACAAAGAGCGGCCAATTCACGCTAACAAGTAAATACAAGACGCGTATGTCAGGGTTTGTTGTAGCAAGTGGATGAATGGGTCGTGAATTGAACGGTTTCGTATACTTTCCATTGGAGTCACAGACCGTACACAATGTGATTTTGATTTTGGTTTTGATCGTATCACCTAAACGACAAACAACTAGATGCCAGCTGGGTTTGCGTGACTTGATCATCTACTTCATTAAATTTGGTTTAACAATGTTAAAAATTAAAACCTGGGCAAGATTAAACCTTTCAAATAAAAGTAACTGTAATTAATTATGGGTTTGCTTCTCTTTTTTTTTTATAATCAATGTAGTTATTGAATCAAAAACGACATTGTTTGAGACGAAAAATTAAAGTATTTTTGTAATTATAATTTATTTTAGAGTTATAATAGTCTTTTTTATTATAATTTTTTAATTTTTGAACCCGAAACAACATCTTTTTAAGAATGAATGTAAATAACTTATCTACATTCACTTTAAAGCCATTAATTATTTAGTATAATTATTAGGGGTGATGGGGATGGTTGATGAATCTTTCTTCATTAATTACATGTGATCATAGAATGGTATGAACAGTTCAGTGCTTATGACCAAATGGGTCCGTAAGCTTTGCCAGGGACAATTTTTTGGTGTATTAGATTTACCTAATTCGGTAAAAAAAAATTATATTTGATATTTTTTTACTTTTTTGAAAAAAAAAATCTCACCATATTAAAAAAGAAGAAACTTTTGAAAAAAAAAATAGAACGAGATATTATAACTATCAAAAATTCTTACTACTTATCATATTATCGGTGGATCAAGGAGAGAGAATGTTAAAAAAATTTTGAAGAGAGAGAAAATATTACTCTAATAATAATTAGATAAGTAATAAATTAGCAGTGAAGAATTATTAATAGTGAGAATATTCCTTCTAAAAAAAATATACCCAAATTGAATACATCTAATATATCAAAAATTTGTTTATGTGGCAGCTGGGTGGTACATCGAGACTTTGACTTTGTTTGTGGTTGGTAAAGGAAATGAGCCCCACGGACGGGGAGTGGATGTCTGGTTGAGCATTGGGTTGCATTAAATGAAGCTGATGATAGCACCTGCATATAAGGTTTTATGATGAGAAGAGGATAGAATTTATATATAAAGAAAATAGGATATTGTGACACCCAAATTATGTTATATTCATGTGACACTCAGTCAATCTTACTGTTAGATCGCTTATGTTGATCCAACGATTATATTTATTTTCATCTTTGTATGGTCATGATTTCCCAAATTTAATATTTTATATTTATTTCTACCTTTGTATGGTTATGATTTCCCATATTTAATGCTTTCACTTTAAATTTGAGAAATCATGACCATACAAAGATGGAAATAAATATAACCGTAAGATAACATAAGCGATCTAACGGTGAGATTGACTGGGTGTCACATGGGTGTAACATAACTTGGGTGTCACAATATCCTATCTCACACCCAAGTTATGTTACACCCATGTGACACCCAGTCAATCTCATCGTTAGATCGCTTATGTTGATCCAACAGTTATATTTATTTCCATCTTTGTATGGTCATGATTTCCCGAATTTAATATTTTATATTTATTTCTACCTTTGTATGGTTATGATTTCCCATATTTAATGCTTTCACTTTAAATTTGAGAAATCATGACCATACAAAGATGGAAATAAATATAACCGTTGGATCAATATAAGCGATTTAACGGTGAGATTGACTGGGTATCACATATATGTAACATAATTTGAGTGTCACAATATACTATCCCAAAAAAGAAAAAGAAAAAAGGATAGAACAAATCAACGAATAATATTCCATTTCACAGACTCACCACCAATCTGTCAGTAAGTAACGTCTTTAAATGTTCCAGCTTTCCAGTCAAAAATATCTTCTGATTACGCAGTTTTCCAGCTGGAAATACCTGCTGTTGCTAGTAATTATTACTTCTCAACTTCAACCGCATGGGATGTCCTACGAGGAATTAATATTTTTTATATAGTAAAAAATAAAAATATTTTTTATTAATATAAAAATATGTGAGATCTGTATGAAAATATAAAAAGAGATGAGATAAAAAAAGAAAATGAGAAATCGTACTTACTTTCATAGAAAAAGTGTTTATCGTTTTAAATAACATAATTTGTGTTATTTCACTCTCACAAAGAGTAGAACACATTCCTTTAATTTTTTTGTCCACTCTCTCCCACCATTATTTATCTCTTTTTCTTACTTAAAATGACACAATTTTACATCTTTTAAAATGATACTCACTTTTTACTACTTTTATATATGTTTAGAAAATAATTTTCTCTCCTACAACATGAGAAACAATAATTCTATTAAAACTAATCTTCTAGCATTAAAATATGAAAAAAATAATGTCTGTCATATAAAAATATGTGATTTTCATTATAAAGACAAGAAAAAATATTAATGAAATCTATTCACTTTCTATGTAAATGTAATAGAAAAAAAATTTATACAACAAAAACAAAATCATTAAACCCTTGAAATATTAATTTTTTTAAATCTCAAATCAAACTTTACATTGAGATTTCTTCTTTCTTTTATTTTTATTTGGGTGAGAACTTTATATTGGGATTTATTTGAATTTTCTTAAAGTAATTTTTTACCGACAGTCGAAGACTTTTTGAAGCATAGAGATTATCGAAATAGATTTTATTTATATCAACAAAACTTTTTTCTTACACTCAGTCAAAGATCGAACTCTTGGCAATTTAAGAAACTCAGACCATCTACTAAATGTACGGAGCTTTATTGCTATATTAATTAGGATTTATTTATATATTAACAACCAATACCAATAAATCACTTACAGTTAATAACATTAATAATTGGGTTTAATATCATAATGAATGGGTATTGCAAAATTCTTCAAATTTACATAATATTTAACTGTACTATTATAAAAAAAATTCAATTTAGCCTTCAATTATTGTTTTTTAGAACTACCGATATTAAAATTGATAACATGTATGAATTATTATTATTCATTTAACAATGTGAAAATAAAAGATAAATTTGTAAGGACTTTTTATTCTTTAATTGAAATTAACTTCAATCATTTTAAAACTTTTTATTATATAATTACAATTATTTTAAATATTTTTATTGATATTTGTTTTCTTTTGAAAGATGAAAAATTCAAAATAATCGGCATAACAACTCCCATGTATTCCGCTATGATATTCTTAACATTTTGGCGGAAATTTGATTAATTTAAAAATGCCTGCATACACAGCTGGTACCTCAAAAGATATTCTTATTAAGTAATAAAAAAATCCTACATAATATGTACAAAATAAAAAATTTACATACTCATGATCTATCGTATAAACATCTCACATGAGCATTAAAGAGGTGCTTTCTAGATTGTATTACTTGAAAAATGTTGCTTTCCTATATTTAAGTTTTATTAAACTTCTTCCGTATATATCGAGCAGTGTAAAGGATTAATAGAACCAAATATGGAAAAATATTTTCTCATGTTGCATGATATTCAATTCTTATATTATGATCCTTCAATTTGTGTACAATATTTTTTTTTTAATAAATGTGGAATCCACTACTAGTTGAGTCACAACATGACAATTCAATTCTCATGCTACATGAAAAAATCAAATCTCACAAAATATACGCATACTTATTTAAGAGAAAAGTTATATTTATAAATTTTTTATTTATAAATTCTTACAAATTATATTATATATTTCTGGAGATACATAATATAATTTATAAAAAAAAAAATTATAAGCGGATACTCTCACTTTATTTAAACTTTGAAAATTAATGGTGAAAAAAAAAACAAAAAAGTTATGAGACAATAGCCTTATAAAGCCGTATTTGGTATGACAAGATTGCGAAAAGCGTCGAATATTAATGTTTTATGACATCGTTATCTCAATTCAGTGCCGAAGTTATTATTTTTTCGGGATCTTCATCGCCTCTTAATAAGCGGTCTATTATCAATGATGATTTATGTTTGATAAAAAAACACACTCCATGATAAGGGTACTTTCAAAAAATAATAATAATAAAGAGTTATAATTATTAATTGAAAAAATTAATAGAATAATATCAATGTTAATTTTTTAGTCGACAATCATATTTTTTAAATTAACTCTTAACTTTAAAGAGTCAAATTAGAAAATAAGAATTTGCATTCGTGAAATTTTAACAAAACCATTAAGCAATCTACCTTGATATTTTCTCCGACAGAATATTATAATATGTTTTAAAAAGTATGGACTAAGTAATAAAAGTTACAAAAATAAGTAATGAAGATATGTAGTTTCTATATGTTCGTAATTTTTTTTTGACTAATTTGTAACTTTTTATTACTCAAATTCGTAATATTTTGCATAAAATATGTAATTAAAAGAAGAGAAATATATTTATCATGTTATATGAGATAATTTATTTCATATAATATATAAAAAAGTGGATAAGATCCATATAAAAAAAGAAAAAAAATCTCATCTATTTTAATGTGTATTGCATGAGACATTTTATCTTATGCAATATAATAAATATATGTCTCTTAAAAGAAATACCATACTGCCTTTTTTTAAACAAGAAATAACGAAATGCACCCCTACAGACCTCAAAATGAGCTACAAAAGATTAGTGGATAATTATTTTATGGGAGAATAATTTCTAACAGTTACGGCAGAAATTCCTATCACTTACACAAATTTTTCTCTTCTCACTCTTGTTTTTTAATCAGTAGGAAAGAAATCGCAACCGCAGACATCATTCTCCCTTGCTTTATGTGCATACATGACGACGTCCAGCTATACATAAAAACAAACAGAAAATGACAAGGAAGGCCGCACGGAATTATGCTCATTTATTTATGGTCTCAGAAAATAATTGTTGTTGCTTCTGATTTTTTTATCATGTAGGATGATATTCCAGTCAAAATAAAATGTTTTTCTTTTCTTTTCTTTTTGGTAAGCAATGTTTTATTTTTCTTATTATACTAAGACTAGCACTCACAAAGTGGCCGTATAAATTTAGGTTTTATTTTTCTCATATTTTATGAGACAAATTATCTCATACAACACATATAAAATTGAGTGTGACTCACTTTTTTATTTTCTTTTTTTTAGTGAGTTTCACTCACTTTTTTGTAGGTTGCAGAAGACAATTTGACTCATCCAACACGAAAAAAATAAAATCCTATAATATAACATCTATCGTTT